CCCCAAAACCCCAAAACCCCAAAACCCCAAGTGTCTAAATTAAAGATATGTGTAAAAAGGACATAGAAATTAAATCGATGATCCATAAAATGGAATAAGCTTTTAATAAGGATAAGCTCAAGATTAGTACAGTATTTTTACTCACTTAGATGCTTGAATTCAGCTACTTTCAATGAATTCCATTATTTTAATTGGACCTGACTTACTGTTACTGCTTTATTATCTTTCTATATTGTCCACATTTATATACACATAAAGCACAAGCAACTAATTAGCCTTACTACCGTTTGATTCTTCAAATTCCACTAATAATTCATCAATCTTTGCATTTAACTTTAGGTATTCTCCAGCTCCAATTCCATTATTGGTTTAATTTTACGAAGAGGGAGTACTCTCTTAGTTACTTATATTAGATTTAACTGTGCTAGATGCAGCTTAATCCGAATCATTTTAGAGTATTTGAATGTTTTAAGTTGCATGTGAAAAATCATTTATCTCGTTAGAATTTACAAGTCTTGTTGCATTAATGTATTTAGTTGTATGGCTGAAAAGAGTCACACTGAAAATTTTCTTTGTTGTTGCATTCAGATAAAATCCTTCGTTATTTAAAACTTCAGATGTTAGTATATTGTTTTCAAATTTGTATTGAATGATAACTTTTTCATTACTTTTCTGATAGTCAAATGATATTCCGTCATCGAGATATAATTAGCCCTCAGCATAATCATCTTCATCAAGATATATTTCCAAATTAATGTCATTTTCCATTCCTTGTAATAAGGACATTGCACTTCCCTAAACTCTGAGGGGCAATATAGTTCCACCTCTAATAAATGCAGCTTGCTCGTCCCTCAGGTAAGTTTTGGTTGTTTATTTGGAATCTCCCTGGAATGTAGCCTTACTGAGATAGTTGTACCATAAATCACCTTCAGGTAATGTGCAATTAACTTTCCATTAATTATCAGAAGCATCTATAAAGTATTGCTAAAGTGGATATTTGTTTTTTATTTTAGGACAAACAAGTATATCTTCTCCTATCATGAATTAAGTTTCCAAGTTAAATAATCTTTCGTCAGATGGATAGTTATACCAAGTAGGTCTAAAGATTGGCTGTCCGTTTATTGAATTGAGGTAAAACTAATAGTAACTATTTTAAGTGTTAAGAAATTCTAGCTTACTAGTAATGAATTAGAGCATATCTGATTAAGATTGTCTGCCTGACTGAATCTTAAATCCAGTATGGTTGTTAATAAGGTTCACGCTAGTAGGCACTATATATACTATGAGATCTGAAAAATGGAAACCATCCACCTAGTTGGTAGAAAAGGAAGTAGAGTTCTTCAGAAGGAACTCCATCAAATCCAGGTACATCTGCTCCAATGAAAGCAAATCCAGACATTCCAAAAGTAAACATCTAGGAAATACAAACTCTTAGTTCTTAGAATGTTGACCTGTTGTCCCCTGTCCATTTTGCAGAAAATTTATGACCTCCGACAAAAGTTGATCTTGTGAGTATAAATGGTCTTTAGTTGTGATTATCTCTTTCTAGTAGGCCTTAATATGTAGCTTTTGCCATTAAAAGACCATAAGCATTATGAATATCTCTATGCAAAACTGAAGATCCATCCCCTAATTTATGTATATTATTTTTAACCATTGCTTTATCTTCTCTATCGAATATAGCTGGCTCATTCATATCAATCCATACATTGAATTAATCATCTGTACCCTAAAAATTCTCATATTTATATTATCTTGCCCAGTATTCCTGACCATGAGGATTTAGATAGTCAATCCAGACACTCATATTTGGCCAGCATCTACCTTTATAAATCTGATTGTATTAATTCTTTATGAAAATACTAGCTTTGCTGTTGAATTATTGATGAGTGTTTTGTTCTATTTCTAATCCTTCTTTAAATGGTTTGAAATCGTAGTCTACTTTCATATGTGGGTCTGTTATCACAACTAATCTTCTTCCATCTCTCCTTGCATTCTCCTTAATCTCTTCAAGTTAATGAGTCATATTAGGGTCAAATTAAAAATATCTAAAGCCATTAGCATATTGAATATCCATCCAAAACACATCTACGGGAATTGCAGCTTAGTCAAATGCTAAATTGTGTCTAAGTATCAATTCATATACATTTTTTTCCCACTTTGAATAATGAAAACCAAGTGAAAAAAATGGGGGCAGAGGTATATAGCCAAAAATAGTAGAGAACAAATTTGAAACTCTTTAAGGGGAGTTTTAATGAGTACCTTTAGTTTTCTAGACTGCTGATCCAAATAAGAAAAACTCAAGTACTCCAGATTCTGTAAAAAAATTAACATAGCTTTTCTATTCTGATTAGCTTTAATCTAATCTCATTTCATAAATATCCACATACGTGTCAGCTGGATTAGTCATTACAATTCCTTCATCATGATCTTTTGAATGAGCTCCGATGAAGGGAACACTGCTGTATAGATTTGTTCTTCTATTTTCTGTTCTATTATATAAATCTGTGTTATATAGTCGATAAGGTTCTTTGTCTAAAGTATTTGTGAGTTTAAACTTATAAGATCTTTCAGGTATACCAAATAAATAGTCTGAATTTATGAAAAAACCGATCTAAAAACCTTCCCTATATTTAGCTTTTTATATTTCTTCATTAATTCTCTTGTACTGAAAGGCCCAAATCCATAAAAATTCTTTCAGATTAAAGCCACCAAAGTATTTCCACACTGTTCCATTATCTTATTTTTGAAATAAAGGAAGCAAGCACTCTTTTTTGATTTTATCTTCTGTAACTCTGTCATTCATAAATCCGCTGTAGCTCTCAAACATGAAGGTATCATTATGATTAACTATGATTGTTGTCACATTATTTACAACTTAAAATATTCTAAAGGGTTCGAACTGTATAGTATAGTTGTAACTGTCTAAGCCATCTTTACTACTATACAATATTTCAATATTATTCTTATTTATCTTTGAGATTTCCTTAATATCTACATTAATTAATTAGTGTTCAACAACTGTTGTTCCTTAGTCATGCTAAGTAAATCTAAACCTTTTGGTATCTGAGCCGATCTCATCAACAACTACTCTCATAATCCCGTTCTCATATAAAGATACATTAAGGAGTAATCTATTTGCTATAAAGCTGCTGGCTATTGCTTCATTTTCTATTTTTCCACAAGATAATGACATTTAACTCAGAATGTAGTTGTCTTGCTACAAATAAAATATGAGTACAACTTAGTTTATTCTTACAATTTTTAAAGAATTCTTTTCTATACCATATGTAAAATATGGCTTACTAGAAGTATAGATCTCATTCAGAATAAGCCTGTTTCTAACACAGAAGTCTTAATAGATTAGGTTATAAGAATTTACCTTGGTCTGCGCAAAGATAATGAAAAGGCTCATCAGCTTTTAGATCATCCTTAATCTCTACTGATTATTCAATTATATACTTGGAAAAGTAAGCAAGACATCCGACGAATAATATCACTAAGTATGTTTTCTTCGACATGTATGAATGTGTTTAATGTTAATTTGAATTCAAATATATATAATACATCTTTATATATCTTCATCTTATTAATAAATTTCAAAACTCTCCTCATTCCGTACTTTATCCTAAAGGGGTTTTGGGGTTTTGGGGTTTTGGGG